TTATTTTTTATTTATTTTTTTCTGTCCTAAAATTCCTCATGTTATAGTAAATTTAGGATCTTGGTTCCAGAATGGAATTACTGGCAAAACTCTTTTCTGTCCTTACCTGCCACCTTCAGATCCATGACGGCTTCTTCATAGGTGTTAGCATCTTTTAAGAAGCAGTGGTACTGTCCATCATCGGTACTACTAATATTGTGAATTCTGAGAGTCATTTTTCCCTCTTCCAGAGTATCCTTTAGAAATTCTGTGTGATTCATATAGGTCTTAGTTCTTTCTCCATACAGTTCTTTCCCATCCTCATATAAGTAAACCAGTTCAGAGTGGTGATGCCGAAACCATCCCACCTCCCTGTGCTTTGCATTCTGTGGTGGGGAAAGCTGACAGCTGAGTTCAGCTTGTCTGCCTACTGTGGTCACATAGTGGCTCACAGACCTGCTTACAGTGAAATACTCTGTAGAGAAATTGAGAGACCAAGAATTTAGTCTTCTTGAAGGCTCAGAAAGTTCCACCTAAATCAATTTGCTCTGGATCGTTGGCCTTCTTTCTTGATTCTTGTTGCTAAATTCCTTTTTTATTATTTAGCTCTTAAGGGTATCTATACTCTGATTTTTTTTTTCTTATAACTGATTCTTCTAGTCACTTTAGTTTCAGCTAAAACTCCAACTTCTAAGAAAGTTCTTGTTTTTGTTTCTCTCACAATGCTTTCAGCACTTCCATTAATCATCCTTATGCATCTTTATGGTACATGTAACTACCAAATATCTTCACTTTATTTTCTCTTCTGTCCCACCAATATTTAAGTTATGTGAAAGTAGAGTTCATTGAATTCATTTGCATTCCCAATACATAAAACGTTTCTTGAATGGAGGAAGAATACAGTAAATATTTAACAAATGAATGTAGAGGCTATTTTCCATGGCTGAGAAAACCGTTCAGGTTAAGTATTGCTAAACAACGTTTCCTTAGATAACCACCCAGTTACTCTTTTAATATTAATTTTGTTTATGAAATAAACATGACCATAAATTTTTGGCATTCTTTCCATCAGGAGAAAAATTTTATGATCCTTTCTTATGAACTTATAACTGTTTTGCCTCGTAAGTACAATATAGCAGATAAAGGACTGTGTCAGTTCTGTGACCAATTTCACAAATGAGAAGCTCTCATATTTGGAAACATTTTTCTAAGAGTTCTGAAATGTCATATACTATATCTAACTATGCACTTGATAGAGATTCTGATCCCCATCTGATCTTAGCCTACTTAGGCAACTCAAACAAGGTGGCAGATACATGTGAATCTATGTTGGGTCTTCTAGACCAAGTCATTTGGTCTATCACATAGAAATAGAGGAATCACTCAGCTGGACACTGCCAGAATCCCTTATCCACAGTTTGGAAGAAATAATAATTTTTAAAATTGTTAATTTTGAGGATTAAATTATATTTTTATTAAAATATAAATACCACACAGCTCCTCCCATACTGTTAAATTTTTCTTTTCCCAACTATGCCAAATTCATTACTCTATATGCTACCAATATCTGCTAAGAATTTTTACCTCTATGGTCTCAAGAAATGTTATCAATCAAATGAGTCTACTTGCTCTAAGAAGACTGTGGATCATGTCAACTCATACCAACTTCTTCTGAGGTCCTACTAACCCAGTAATTCACAGGATCACATAAATTATTGTATAGTTTCTCTAAATGTAGGGCTTATATTCATTAGTAATGTCCAGTGAGATTTTTGTGCCTCCCATGGGTATATACTGAACGCATACCTTCTCATCTTCTAGATTACACAACAATATTTATTATAGGATATAGTAAAGGCTCAGAAAGCCAGGACAAGTGTAAAGCATTTTTACTAGACTTTGTTAAACACTCATTTTTATTTTCCAAACTAAATGAAATTGCATAATCTGAGGAATAGCAGTAAATTTTACTCATTTTTTCTGGTCTCATTTACTTACATTATCTTTGTAGACACCAGACACACATATATGCAAACACACAGTATTCGTACCTGAGATGAGTAATATTCTTTGTAAGAAAAGAATGACCAAAAAATATCTGGATAAAGAGGAAGATACAAACTCCATGATACCTGGAAAATGAAATAATAAGAATTTAATATGACAGCAAGAGAATGACTCCCAACCACTCTCAATATCCTCTTATGACTGTGCAGATAAGAATTAACAGGCACAAGTTTGAAATCTTGCATTTTGAAAAATTTCTTTTAACTACAACCAAATTACTCCAGGCCATATACATCAAATCCACCAGGATTATCACTTCCTTTTCTTTACTTTTGATTTCTTGACTACTGTTGCCACGGGTATTTACTGTGGATCCTAAGAAGACAAAATTGTTAACCACTTCAGTCTTCTCAGTATCTATCATAGTGTTGCTTATTGATTCAGTGGTGAGGATTTTTGTTTTCTGGATATTAGGAGGCAATCCATATTGAAAGCTGTAGTCTATGACCTGCAGTAAGCATCTCAGGTCCTCCTTACTTTCGGCAAAATTGTGTCATCTGCATATGCAGATTGTATGTAAGTCTTCTTCTGATTCTGATGCTACATTCTACTTTATAGGGTCCAGCTTCTCAAATTATTTGCTTTGCATACAGATTGAATAGGTATGGGGAAAGGATACAGAAATACAGCCCTGATGGATGCCTTTCTTGATCTCAACCACACAGTCTTTCCCTGCTCTGTTCACACAACAGCCTTCTGATCTAGGTACAGGTTTCAAATGAGCACAATTAAGTGTCCTGAGATTATAGATAAACATTTTTCTGGTATTCTCTGCTTTCAGCCAAGATCCGTCTTACCATTAGCAATATCCCTGCTATTATGGCTTCTTCTAAACTCAGCATGAACATCTGACTTTTCTCTGTCAATTTAGTGTTCCTACCAACCTTCGATGATTGTTAGCAAGACTTTATTAGTGTGTGATATTTGTAATATTGTGTAATAATTTCCACATTCAGATGAATCACTCTTTTGGGGAATGGGAACAAAAATTAATATTTCCAGTTAATGGGTCAGGTAGCTATCTTACAAATTTCCTGGCATAGACTGGTAAGTCTATCTGTTTGTTGAAACATGTCAATAGATATTTCATTAATCCCTGGGGCCTCAATTTTTTGCCAATTTCTTCAGTGATTCTTGATTGTACACTACTTCCTGGTATTGTTCCCGTAGGATTGAAATTGTCAATTACTTCATTCTCAATTGGATCCACAATCAACAACGTCCTTGATAACTACAGTCAGTAGATCAGGAAGACATACTGCACTGAGAAAGTCAAGGGTCTCTCCAAAGTGCCAAGGAGCAATAATGTCACTTTGAAAACTAAGATGCATCTGATTGAAGCCAGGGTCATTTCCATCACTTGCTGTGTATCTGAGGCTAACCAATGAACAAGGGTAACAGAAGAAAAAAATGATGCCTTTGAAGTGTGATGTTAGAAAAAAGTGCTACATATCACATGGATTACAAAAAGAACAAACAGATATGTCTTAGAGAAAGTACAGCTAGAGTATTCCTTGGAGACAAAGATTACAATGCCTCATCTCACATACTTTGGGCATGTTGTTAAGAGAGACCATTCATTGGAGAGGAACATAATGCTTGGAAAGAGTGGTAAAACAGAAGAAGGCCCTCAACCAGATGGATTGACACAGTGACTGCTGCAATGGGCTCTGATGTGTCAGAAGTTATGAAGATGGTACAGGATACGACAGGGTTCATATCTGTTGTTCATAGGGTTTCTATGAGTCATGGTGGACTTGGTGACATCTAACAACAACAACAACAACAAACCTTGTCTCTGGAAGATAAATATGTTTCTAAAGGATGTGTGGGTTTTCATACATATACTAGGAATAGACAAATGGACATAAATACAGAAGTAGAAATAGAAGAGGTAAATGTAAATGGAGTTATAGTAGAGATATGGATAAACCCTTTACAAGTATATGTATTTAATTATACAATAGGTACATATTATGTGTCTTTTTTTCTTATGCAAATTGCTCTTAAAGCAGATGAGCCCATAGATAAACAGGAAAAAGACCCAAACCATCACAGCACAGAAAATTAAACTAATCTATAAACATGGAAAAAGGTGCAGATCTCATTGGGCATCAAGAAAAATGCACATTAGAACCACAATACAATACTTCCTCATATAACCAGAATTCACATTTTAATTAAAATATTATACAATGTGATTCCTCATATGAACTTCATATGTGATTCTTCGCATCAAAATCTTATATGTATATTGGTATCTAAAAAAAATACTTACACGTTCTCTGATTTAGTTGAAAATACACATAGTCTATATCCTTGAAATTCTACTTCCCGGTACATGCTCAAGCAAAATGCATGACCTTGTGTACAGCAGACATGGGAAATGAAGTTCATGCAACATTACTGGTTTAATTTATTCCTAACAACAAGTCTATATTCACAACCCAAAACTACATCCATATTCAACCAATTTCATAAATGTCAAGAGAAAACAGGCATTATATCCTTTATTTATTCTTTATTTATTTATTCTATTTGTTTAATGTTTCAAAATGCAAAGCTATACTGTAGGCTTCATCTTTCAACTGAGATAAAGAAATGAGACCTGAACTAATCCTAAAGTGGAAAAAGTTAATTTTAAAAAGAGGATGAATATGAAAAAACAAAGGTTTTTTTCAATTGTAATTTGAATGAATGTTTACAAAGCAGGTTGGTTTTTCCTTTCACATGAAACAACAGCTTTAAAGAAAATAGATATCTGGTAATGAATAACAATGATCTTTCATAAAAAAAAAAACAAAGCAAGTAATCTTATAGTTGCCATATTTTACTGAGTAGAATGAATTTCCAGGATATGGTCTGTTGAGTGAGAAATGAGAGCCCACTCACTTATCTGAGTTGAAGAGACAGAGCTGGAAAGATCTCAAAACCGTAGTGGAATACAGAAAAATCTAAATTATATACAGAAAGACGCTATGAGTCTTCTTGAGTAGTGATTATTGCTGTTGTTATATGTCATTGACTTGGAAACAACAGCTGACCCTCTGCCAGGTTTTCAGAGGTAGTCAATCATGTGGGAGGAAATTGCTAATTTTTTCCCACAGAGCCACTTCTGGAAGAAAACTGTGGGCCTTGAGGTTAGAAAACAATGGGCTTTTAGGTTATGAGGGCAACTCTTTAACACTAAACCACCAGAGCTCCCTCACTGTTG